ATTGCATGTTTTAATATATTGACTACCGTCTTATAAGTGAATATTCTAGTGCCACTCTAGAAAACGCGAGAAACTGTCATCTATTAACTGTAAAATGATGAATACACATGATACGCAAATAAAGTTTCATAGGCTATATTTTATTTTATTTATTTATTTATTTTATTTTTTTAACGACTTGCAGAAAATTTTCCAAGCGATAGTTGTTTATAGCAAAGTACAATTCCAGCTATTCGAATCGCTTTCAGAATTTCAGAAATATTTAGAATTAGCTGAAGAAGAGAGAAAAAAAGGAGAAAAAGAAAAAGAAACTCAGGAAAAAGAAGAGACAATAGAAAATGAGGACAAAGTGTCACTTGAGGAATTAAGAAACATGGCAGAAACAATAAAATTTGGCGCTGTTGTGCAGTTGTGCGAAAGCAGTGTTTAAAGTATTATTTTTTTGCTATAAGCTATAAATCGAATAGAAGCGTTTTTGGTTCAAAGGGGTTTTGTCCCTGAGAGACTATTGTTTTCGTTTTGCAATTTTGCGTCGAATCACCTCTGAATGTCCGTTTCACTTTTCACACTGTTGCCACCCAATATTATCGCCCTGTATTATATTTGAAGAAATTAAATAATGAAGAATCTGCATAAATGTGTGTATGTTTCTTGCATTGTGATAAAACAACGGTACCTAGAGCCATCCAATTTTGAATGACGTCATCCTACTGAGAATAGGGGCATCTGGAAGCCCAAATTTGAAATTTGAAATTTGTTTTATGATCAATTTCATATTTTGTAAAATTTTAAAGAATTTTTGATTAGCAAATTCAAGGATTTGAAAGCGAGCCATGGCAACGTTGTACAGAAAAAAACATTTTTATCTCCAGCGCACGAGAATGTGTATCGGAAATTCTAAAGATAGGCTCAATTTAAAATTATTTTGCTATATTGCTCTTGAACTGAATTTTATGATTTAAGTGCGAAGAACGTGATATTTAATAAATAGAAGTAACACACAGATTGTTAAAAAAACAACTTTTGGGACGTGATTTAAAATCTGAAATCTTTCAGATTTTTTTATTTTATTATTATTATTTTTTTTTTTAATTTTTTTCTTTCATTTGCATCTAAGAATAATTGTTTGCATTTTTAACTATTAATTACATACTATTTATAGTTAAGTTCATTATTTTATACAGAAAAAGGTAGTTTCATTCTATAAATTTTCATCGTTTAAAAATTTATTGTCTCTGCGAAAATTCTCCCGGTTTAATTTTTTAAAAAATTCCGATTTCTTTAATTTAGTAGATTGGCAGTTCTGCTTTTTGTAGAGTAAAAGCCACCTGCGTAGTGCGGTACCGAAGGGCTCCGGCTCGAATCCCTTGTAAATGAACAGTTTCTTTGCGGTATGGGGGCACTCTAAATATACAGCGAGCCGAAAGTCCTCTCGTGTGGTTTGCTGGTAGGGAAGAGGGATTGGAAACCCTCGGACATCCCTCCCTGCGGTGCTGTCCTTCAAAATTGGGGTGGAAAGTAGAAACCCAACCTTCTTGAGGTTCTGACTAAAAAAGTATTTCTTAAAAATGCATAACCTAAAAAGGTATTTCTAAAAATAAAGAGAAAAACGAATAGCAGAGCAAAAATACGATGCTTTTATTGGAATTACAAACTATAGCTTTTTTTTTTTTTTGAACGACAGTATCGCGAAGCACGATTTCCTGATGACGACAACACTCACTGTTGCCAGAACTTATCTAAACTATATCTATATATTATATTAATATTATTTTATTAACATACTTTAATACTGACAACCATTTTTCCGTATAATATATGAAGACAAAAACAACAAGGGTGAAAAGTTTTTTGTGTGTGCGTGTTTTGTTTACTTTGTAATCATTTTGCAGTTCATAGAGTTATTCTACATACTTTTACTACAACCGCTTTCATTTTATGTGCTTAGAGATGCTCTGTTAAATACCGAAAAATAAAACAAGCTAGAAAATGTGTATTAATTTCGATAGTTGACACAAAACTCAATCTTTTTTTCCCACGCTAAGGCAATACAAATGTGTCTGAACATATTAAGTTTCTTTTTTTCATTCTTGCTACTTCTTGTTAAAAGAAATTAACAGGAAAATAAAGCTTTAATTTTTTTTAAAGCACTTTAACCATTCAGTAGGAAGTGCATAACTTGGAAAAAATAACTTTCAAAACATAGCAACATGCAATTTTAATGCGTTTAATTTTTACACTCGCTTAACCAAACTTAACGTCTACTGTTCCTTAAAAACTCGCCAGTAGATTAAACTTTTAATAATATGGGAAGGTGGAAAAAAACTGGAGGGAAAAAAAGTGTCTTTATGTCCCCTGTATTACTGTTAAGTCCTGCGGAACAATTTGTCAAAGAGTAGCGACAAAAACACGGGCGTCAATGATTTAACAAACATTATACCACGTTGAAAAAAAAAATCTTAAAAACTTTTCACCCACTAATAAAAACAGCTCCCTGAATTTTTTTCGCCCCTTTTTCGTCCCCCCTTGCCATTCCTTAAACCGAAGTGTCGGTTTTTCACTTATCCCTTAGTGTCGCTGCTTTTTGCTTCTCAGATTTAAGTGTGAGAGGAAGAGAATTTTTTTTTACTGTTATTATTATTTACTCCAGCTCGTTAATCTACTTAATGGCTCACACTTATCCGGCAATGAAGTTTTTCTTAAGTATATCCCCGTTTTTTCGATTTTTTTTTCATCATCATTACCTTGCACTTTAGCTTTTCTTTGAAATTTAAAAAAGTGTTTTCTTCCTTTAAAAGAGTTCTTTTCCCGCTCTTGTACGGTGGTCGCTTTAGCTCTTCCCCCCTCCTCCACTCGCTCTTATGTAATGTTATATACAGGAGAAACTTTTTTCCTTTTTAGGGGAGTCATTAATATTTGCATAAGTACTTACAGCAATTGCGTTCATTGATTGTGCAGTATCAATAGGCATCGCGAAATTCGAGACGTTGTTGTTGTTTTCGAGGCTAGGAATCTTTAATTTCTTGTTTAGTTACATGTGCTTTAAAGTGCGATTGTTTAGATTTCGGGTTGAGCATTTGGTGATTTGCATCGATGATTTATGATTGATTTTTAGTCCAAAGAGGCAGTTTGCCTAGAAGCACTATTAACACTTTCCGGCACGCTACCTTTTAAAGTCGGAGTTTTTATATATATATTAAAAAAAAGGTAAGCAGTCTAATTAGGCTTAGAGAAGTACACAATTAATATTTTGTGAAGATACCACTTATCGTTTAGTTCTGTGGGTGTGGGCACACTGATTGAATAGAGCTTCGAAAAGAGTGCTGAAACGAGCATTGTTGTCAATGAACTGACCGATGAGATGCGGAGAAACAAAGAATACAGACTCTCAGTTGTCCTAGATGATCGGTGAGCCCGGTTTGGGCACATCTAGGGTTCGCCGTTTGATTTTATGCAACATTTCAAGGTAAAAATTTAAAACTGATATAGAATAAGGAGATTAGCATACAGCCCAAAAAATAACATAGAAATTTCTTTTTAAACGATTCCTTTTATACCCTAAAAAAATCTGGAAAATTTCTAGAAAACTGAACATGGCTAAAATATATGGACTGGTTTGTGTTGAGCTGCCATCTACTATAAATAAAGAAGGTTCAGAGTAACCTATAAATCCTTTTTCATTCAATTTTTCTGTGCATACAGAAGGGAAATTTTTAGGTGTGTTCCAGACCGGACACACTCTGCCGCAAAGGGTTAAGAGATAGGATCATAGTCAGTTTAAGCAAAGGACATTATACTTTTCAGATGGCAACTGAAGAATTCTAGACGTATACATGTTTATCGTGATATATCTCTTCTTGCTCTTGTCGTACATATAATGTCTTACAGACATAATAAAGTTTCTAAACAAATGGCTACGATTACAAAACGAAATCGCCAACATTATATTTAAGTGCAGTATCCTTTAACTGTCGATGAGTTTCTGAAAATGTTTTTAGATCAAAAGGGACTTTAGTTCCAAATGAGATATTACTCTCGAAACGGCATTTTGTGGCATATCATTTTTCAAATTGTTGCCACCCAATATTAGAGCCCTGTATTATATTTAAGGAAATTAAATAATGAAAAATCTACATAAATGTGTGTGTTTCTCGCATTGTGATAAAACAACGGTACCTAGAACCATCTAATTTAAAAAAAAAAAAAAAAAAAAAAAAAAAAAAAAAAAAAAAAAAAAAACGTTGTCTTCCACCCGAATATGCCAACTGGAAGCCCGAATTTTGAATTTTGAATTTGTTTTACTATTTGTTTCATATTTTGCAAAAATTTTGAGAAATTTTGATTAACAAACTTAACGATTTGAAAGCGTTCAGCGGCAACACTGTACGGAATAAAAACATTTTTATCTCCAGCGCGCTAGATCGTCTGTCGGAAATTCTAAAGACATGCTGTTTTTAAATATTTTGGGATTTTGCTGTTGAATCGAATTTTATTTAGCGTAAGCACCAAGAACGCAATATTTAATAAATAAAGTAAACATACAGAACGTTAATAATAAAAAGATAAAAAAAAATAAAAGTTTTGTAAAGCCATGTTAGTAAAAACGCTGAACATTCGTATGATGAACTGAGAATAGATTGAAGAAAACAGAAAAACGTATGCCAACACTTCACACTGCGTAGAGAATTCTAAACGTAGGCTGCTTTTAAAATTTTTGTAATTTTGCTGTTGAATTGTATATGTTGTAAGTGCGAAGAAAATGATGCTTAGTAATAAGGCTAAAAAGGGGGTTAATAGAAGGGAGTTAGGGGTTAGCAGACTAGTAAGCTGCAAGTTCAGCTAGAGCATAAAGCACCTTAACAAACCCTTTTAGGTGACCATTAAAATCTGAAAGCTTTCAGATTTTTTAAAAATTACTTGTTTATATAAACATTTAGCTTTTCATGCTGTTGAGCTTTATGAAGTTACGTGCTAAGTTCTGTATTTTTGTGTATTTCCAGGCGAACGCACTGAGGCATGTGATCTCTCAGACAGCGGGCTACGCAGATGGCCTTCCGCCGCAGTCCACCGCATCTATGTATGACCCTGCAGGCATGCATCAGGTAAGTACGTATCTTAATCTAAATTTTCAGTTTCAAATGTTTTTATGACAATAATAGTTCTGGAAACGTTAATGCTTTGACGATGTCTTTTTTGCACCTGCCAATTACATTCTGCAAGGAAAAAAGGGCCATGAAAGTTATTGTGTTGTAATGAAGTTCATATCTTATGAGAGATGAAAGATCATAACTGAAAAGTCTTAACTTTTTAGAAGGTTTTAATTGTTAAATTGTACATGCAGGTACTCTCTGTCTGATGGGTGGCGGTCGCTGTAGCAACAGGGCTAGTATATTTAAAATGGGGGAACCAAGGGTTGCATTATTGCTTTTTTGTTTTGTGCAACTATTGGCTGAGGGGAAAAGAGTTAGTTATCATTCATCTTCAAGACATCCCTATGGAAAATGGGTCAAGGCTCGTTTATACGGCAACAGACAGCTGCAGACTAACTGGCGAGAGCTTTTCTTATGCTAGACAGACTGTACTCATGTGGCAGGCGTTGCGTAAAGGGCTCCATCATAAAGGCAGCTCTACTGATCGGTTGGTATTCTTGGTATTCACCAGGGCCAACCTTCGCAACACTGTCCAGCCTGGGGCACAGTTATCTAAGTTTGGTTTGTCATTCATCTTCAACACATCCCTATGGAAAATGGGTCAAGGCTCGTTTCTTCAGCAACAGACAGTTGCAGACCAACTGGCGAGAGCTTTTCTTATGCTAGACAGACTGTACTCACGTGGCAGGCATTGCATAATGGGCACCGTCATAAAGGCAGCTCTACTAGTCGGTTGATATTCACCAAGGCCAAACTTCAGAACACTGTCCAGCCTGGGGTACAATTATCTAAGTTAAGTTTGGTTTGTCATTCATGTTCAAGACATCCCTACGGAAAATGGGTCAAGGTTTGTTTCTACGGCAACAGACAGCTGCAGACTAACTAGCGAGAGCTTTTCTTATGCTAGACAGACTGTACTCATGTGGCAAGCATTACATAGTGGGCCCCGTCATAAAGGTAGCTCTACTGGTCTGTTGGTATTCACCAAGGCCAAACTTCAGAACACTGTCCAGCCTGGGACACATATATGTAAGTTAAGTTTTGGTTTGTTAGTCTGAATGTCAAAGGAAATCAGAATCTTATTCTTGCAATGACCCGGCATAACGATGACATCGGTCTCTTCACGCAGGAACAACCAAAGTGAAAGTTTCTGCTTTGATTAACATTGGTCAGTCGCCATAACTTGATTGCACCTTTATTTAAGAGCTATGTGTAAGAAACACTATTACCTACTAAACTAATTGTGCGCAGGCAACGTGAATTTTAATTCTGGAATACCGAGATATTAGCTAAAGGATACATATATCGTCCTCAAGCACTTGGAATTCGGAATGGACCCTCAGCTCTGTCGTTTTTGTCTCAGTTTCGCCATGATAAAATGCTGTTATCTGACTGAGCACAGAAGTGTCGTCAAAGTCATTGGTATTAAGAACTTAAAAAATTAACTGTCTGGTTTGTAAAAATGCTTCAAGTGCAGAAAGAGAAAATGCACACGTGCACTCTTTTTTTTTCCAGTCGCTGTTTTATCGCTGCATAATTTCAACTTTGAAAGAGTTTTTTTTTTTTTTTTTTTTTTTTTTTTTTTTTATCGGCTTATAGCGGTAATCTCAGATATTAGGGTCCAAACTATTATATTGTAAAGGTTATCCTAAGTTTTTAATAGTTATCTTCAGTTAAAGCTACTTTCCCATTCCTCTTAATTTCAGCTTACAATTTCCTACCAGAATGTGTTTTTAGAAACGCGTTTAATGCAGATGAGTAAGAGCGTATTTAAGTCGAAGTTCCACCGACTTCGTTAGAGAGCCAGAGATTCTGACTAGCATGCTTTTGCCTTGTGGCTACTCTCTCTCTATGCTATTACTAACATGGCCGTATCTCAGGCCCTTGATAGCTTCGCCAGAATAGTCGATATTTAGGGGCCAACTACGTACTTAGAAATTCTGAATAGCTTCGGCTGTATCTTTTATTAAAGTTTTATTTCTTATTACTTTGAGTTCAAGCCCAAGTGAAGGCTTTGCTGTACGCTCTGAGAAAGGAGCCAACTGTTAAGTTCTTCTTTTGAGAAAGGGTAATTAACCCTTCTTGAGTTTTACGTATCTGTTTCTGAACTAAAACGAATATTCGTTTACCTGTTCACGAGGTTCCTACACACTTAGCTGTTGGATAAAAGGTTGGAACCCCACAATATAATGCCCTACATGAGCTAAGCAATTATTTTTTTTTTTTTCATCATTGAACTTATTACAAAATTTTAACCGAAACTTTCTCTTAAATAAAGCTGTTGCCCACCGTCTTATTTAAAAGAATTAAATGGAATAAGTGTTTATATGTGATTATAAATATCTGGCGATCAATATTTTCCTCACTTGGAATATTAAACAACATAAATAATTTGTCGAAATCGTCTTGAAGTCATACGACGACTGCACTTATGATCGGAATCGTACAGGAAAAAAAAAAAAAAAAAAAAGAGCATTTAGTTACTGACTAATGTTTTTTCTAGAAAAAATTGTCATTGCTAGAATATGATGGTAAAGTGTTATTTTTAACTACTATGACTGTTTCATTATATGTACTCCCCCCACAACGTATATTTGAATTAATGGAAATAATTCATCATCCTTAAAAGTTTTAACACTTTAAAACAGAAATATCCCATTGGTTTGAATTTAAGGTGAAAGTTATTTCTTTAAAACACTTTAAAATGTAACGAAGTCCGATATCTAAAATTTAACTAAAAAATTCATCGTTTGTTCCTTAAGTTAGAAAGGAAATAGGCTCGTTTAATTTTGCTTCAGAGTTTGTTTGGACCATTTATTAATATTGCTATACAAAACCGTTTGTGTAGTATATTGTAAAACAACTTCAGAATATCAAGTTTGCACACGAAACCGTATTATTACGTACAAGCCCTTTTTCTTTTCGCAAAGTGCCTTGAAATACTCGTATGTAAGATGTGTAAAACTATCTTATATTTGTATTGTTATGGCAAATTTCTGTTTCGCGTTACACTAATAATATATTTACAGTATTGGATATAAATTTGAGACGTATTTTTGCGGCTAATAAAGCTTTTTATGGCTTGAAGCATTTACTTAGATCTGGCTGTTTATCTAGAAAAACAAAGCTGTTACTTAATCCGTCCTGTTTCGACTTACGCTTCGGAGACCTGGACTGTGACCGTGAAGGACGAAGGGATCCTTGGTACTTTTGAACGCAAAGTCCTGAGAAGCGTTTTTGGAGGAATTCGGGAAAATGGTATCTGACGTAGAAGACGCAATACCGAATGTTCAAAGAGCCAGGCGTTATTCATGACTTATATCGAAGTTTCAAAGAGCCATGTTCATGAGACGCTATTCATGACTTGAACATAAGCTGCCTCAGTTGGGCTTGGACTGATATCCGTGTAAATGACAGTAATGTACTAAAACTTTTTCGGCTAGACCAGGTAACACCAGAAGAAGAGGAAGACCTATACCTCGATGGATAGATGCTGTAGACGAGGATTGTTTGGTCTTTAAAACTAAGAGTTGAACCAGTTCGTCTGCTAACAGAGGTGGTTGGAAACGTCTAGTTCAGGAAGCCTTGGTCAATTCTGGGCTGTCTCATCGTGGATATAAATTTAATTAAATCTCTAGAAATAATTTACATATCAATGGAATGTTTAGATTGACTGCTGAATGATAAATTCAATTTTTGTAGTATAATTAGTTGTAACAATTTGCATTTACCACATGTGTATTATATATGTACTTATTTCGTTTCTTTTCCGTTTCAGCCTTCCGAGCTTCATCCTTAGTGTAGACCGGGGACGATAAACATCAGCCAATCGGTGAACAGGGCCAGGCTCAAACTAGCCAATCAGGAAGGACTCGAATACTTCACATATATACGTTTCAAATAAAATCTCTCAGACCTCAAGAATCATGTCTCATCAAAATAAAAGTAAATGAATAAAGTTTAAAAAACATCGTTTCTTGCACTTTGTCGCACAGAAGAAGAAAGAATAGCAAGATTTTGGGGATTTTGCAGGGAGAGATGAAATCCCTGACCATTGAACTTGTACACTAGGAAAAGTGACGTTACTTCTGTATGCTAGTGTCGTTCTTTTCAAAACCGCGCATCGGTCGCGGAAAACGGTTTTTAAGTGTACATTTCTTTCTCAGAAATATAAAATATATCATTGTGATGACTCATCTGGAAATTCGGATATGACTCTTGTACATCAGAATTCACAATTCGGCGTCTTTCCCCCCCGTGTTGTTGTTCTAAAGACTGTGTAGCAATCAGCAGAAATATGTGCACTTTTATATAAATAAATATAGACTCGTCAGTGAGGACAGTGACTCGCGCTACGTTTTAATTTCACGTTCGTTTTTCATTCACTCCAATTATGAAAGGTTGGGACAAAAGAACGTGGCCGTTCGGGGGAAGATTTCGGTTCACCATCGCCCTCAAGCGGAACGCCACCTGGTGTGCGGTTTTACGGTGCACCACGTGGAATGTGGCTGTGACGCCGTGTGATGCTTTCAAGTTGTTTTTTATATAATATTTCTTAAAAAGGCCCAAAGATTGCTGTTATTCACGTCCATTCGTCTATTCGATACATTGATTTTCCCCCTTATCATTTGCCAGTGTACATCTAGTGTTGGAATCAAAGCAGAGAAAGTTCACCACCTCGGTTTCATTCTTCCGTTTGTTTTGTTTCGTTTTTTTTTTTTCTTCCCTGAATTTTGTATAAATTTTTTTTCGGAAAGTAGCACGGTTTGAGAGGTATTGTAATTAATATGCGTGAAAATTTTCTGTATAACTCATTTGTATATGAATGTCGATTGATTTTGTGCAAAAATTATGTATAGTAAAATGAGCTTGATAGGTATCGATGATACTTAGGTAATGTGTACAGGTCTCAAGTTTCGTAACTTGCTTTTAGGAGTCTATTATACGTATAGGCATTACATTAATCGAATGACTTTTTTTTTAAAATTTCTGTGATGAAGAGAAAATCGTTTAACCAAACTAATATGTTAATTTCACTTCCAGTTGTGTTTGATTTACAAAGTGCATTTTTTAACGATTGTGTTTATAAATTATTGATGCAATGTTTCTTAATAAATTGCAGTTGATATTTGCCAGTAAAAAAATGTAAAAGTTGAATAAATACTTATTCAGAATACTTGTTGAAATTATTAAAATGATATTCATTATTTTAATGACCGTCAAGAAATGTGTGAAAATCAAAATTTTGCCTAAATTGTCAACGGAATATTTGAAGCAATAGCAGATATTATTTTAGATATAAGTTTGTTTTAAATTTCTTATTATTTCTAACAAAATTTCCCTTTTTAATATCATGTCCGGTATTTTTATTTACTTTTGTAAGGTTACACTAATTTAAATATTTTAGATGCTTAAGTAAGGCCTTTTAATAAATTAATGTAATTATATTCTTATAGTTAAATGTTGAAACAGTTCAGTTAGACATTTCATTAATATTTATCTTAATTTATAGCTGTGAAAACGAGTGGTATGTTCGAATACAATTAAAATCTAAAAGCAGAAGAAATATAATGACAAATTTAACAAAAACATGGCATTTAAAATTACCTTAAGTTTACCATCAGTCTTTATTGTTATTAATAAATGTTATGAAGATTTCTATAATTATTATCAATTTTATTTTATTTATGAATTGTTTTATGAAATTCTTGATGCTCTGACATTATCAGGACCGGATTCAGAAATGTGTGCATGTATGTGCATATATATTTGTGTGCGTGTATATATATGTGCATACAATGAACACATACATCCATACATACGCACATTTCTGAATCCGGTCCCAATAACAAAAGAGTACCAGTTCTTAAGCTAAACAGAAATTGTTTCAGATGTTTTAGAGTAAGCAAGAAATTATCTAAAAAATAAATAGTTTGTCTACAAATTTTTAAATTCATATGTATATATTTGTAATGAACAGTGTTGGGGATGTGCAATCCTGTTTACTTATAACTAAATCATGATAGTTTGGTCAGATGAGTTTCTTTAGTGTGAAATCTAAATAGATATTTTATTCCAAATTTAGCTCTTTAAAATATGGCAATGGCTTACAACTTTTGGAGATTAAATTTTACTCTTGTAATGAACTGAATAAAGCAAATGTTATTATATTTTGTTCAGGTCATTACGATGATTCATAAGCATTTTATTTATTATACTTTGACCTTTTCTATGCATATGATAATTAGAATTTTACCTGCTAATTAATTAATCAGTCTTGGAACTGTAAAGCTGAAAATAACTAATTTTAAATCTGTGTAAATACTGCAAATATATCAAACTTAATTTTTTTTTTTTTTTTTTTTTTTTTTTTTTTTTTTTTTGTTGTTGTTGTTTTGTGTGTTTCCAAAGATCAGTACTTTTATCATCGATTTCTATCAAGCTCAGCAAACTTGTATAGAAAACTAAGAAGCCTACCTTGTTTACTCTTAGCTACAATATTTATTGTAATAATTCATTATTCCCCATTCAGTGCTGATGAAGCTTGTAATACTTTAGAAATCTGAACTTATGATTTTTCTGTTCAATTAAATTTTGTTCATTCCTAATGTGAATATTTTAAATACGTACAGTTGAAGATTGTAGCTGTTATGTTATTTTTTATTAATATTCGAAAAGCAGTTTCAAATCAGTCATTTTACATCTATATTTTTTTTTCAAACAGTTTAACTGTGTGATAGATTCTGTTGTACTTAAAATGCATTTCTTATGTAAGATTCTATTTCCATCTGTGATTTAAGTCGGGTTTCTTTACGAAACATCTGACATTTTACTTGTGCATTATTCTGAATCTGTGTACTGAAATAAGAAAAACATCTGTAAAGAAAATAATTATGTTTTTGAATTTATGGTTATGAGTTTTTAAATCCCTGAAATACCAGACCTGTATATGTTCTCAAAATTACATATCGCGTTGTACAATTAATTGTATGATGAGAATTCCTGCAATGATCTCTTATAGTGTACAATCAATAACATACAAGATTTTGTTTTTAAGGCGTTTGCAAACTGCACATATTGTATTTGAATGAACGAAATATAAATTATGTTATTCGTTAAAAAATAACCTGCATTTTGTGTCTCATTATTTCTTCGTCACTCCATTTATGCAAATGTGTGTATACAACATTGATTAATGTGCTAGCATTTGAGTGCATAGTCCTTTGGAATGAATGGTAGGATTTTACAAAATTGCTGTGGAATACTCATTCAAAAAGATTATATGCATGTGTTTTTATTGCATATAATCTTTTTGAATGAGTATTTCACAGCAATTTTGTAAAATCCTACACAACTGGTGGAATTTCATGAACCAAAATAAGCTGGACCAGCCGTTATATTGCATCAGGAATTGATACATTGGTGATTCAGGTGAAAGAGACCTAGCGCATGAAAACGGCATCTGAAGATGGAACAAATAGTTCTAGGACAGATGTTATTTTAGTTCCAGAATTCTTCAAAAATTAAAAACAATAAAAAACCCAGAACAGAATATAATGCTAAAAGAACCCAACAGTCTTGTGTTCATGGTCATTTCACTCCATAAATCTTCCTTAACCCCTACCTATAAGAGCACATGTTCATTATAAGGCATAGGTACACGTGGCCGTCATTTTGACCATGCGTGCATATTTAATGTTTTTTACTATTTAAAAAACATCGTAAGGCAATTAAAAATTAAAGAACATTTAAATTAACAAACAAAGGTTATTAAACATGACTGATAATAAATGTATTACAATTTTGAAACTTTCACAAACGCGGAAAACTTGCCGTTACCAAATATGGACATATTGTATACTGGTGTAATGTGATAGATTCTGTTGTATTTAAAATGCATTTCTTATGTAAGATTCTATTTCCATCTGTGTTCACAAACTCCCTCATTTCCAATCAACCAGTGTTGCCAATATCAGAATGTAAAAATGCCCATTGGTCAGATTGATGTGTACTTATAGGTGTTAATCAACTGCATAATTACGTAATCAGTTTCCAACATCAGGAATAAGAGATTGAGGTTAAATCCTTAAATATTTAGCCGTTGCTTTCAATTAAATGGTAGGACAAGTAACTTAGGTTGGAGACAAGCCTAAGCACTTACTAATATTACATCAAACATTCTTGCTAGAGTAAGGGCTGAAACTGAACATTGCAATGGCATCCTGTTAATGGCACACATTGAAACTTTTTCGTTTTGTTCATGATCTTTTTTAAGTGACCTGAATTATATAAAAACACTTTTAATCCATTTTATATATAATATGAACCTCACAGAGACTTTCTAAATTCCTGTCATTCATTTTCCAAGACTCTGCATTACAAAATTGTAAAATAGCTGTGTTTCATTGCACACTAAACATTCTGCACAGACCTACTCGCTGATAAAATCCTAATCATCATCTCTTCACAAGCTTGCTGATAAAACTTAAAATTTAATGAAAATATATGTTTAGTTTTGCATATAAAAATCATTTGCACAAACAGTACATGGTAAAAAATAGAATAAAGAATTTAAACTAGATCATATAAAAAGTGTTCATAAACTTATCATTGAGATTTTGAATTTTGGTCTTTAAATTGATAGTTTTAATAGGTCTTTAAATTGATAGTTTAATAATTAAATATCTATTTGACGCGAAACAAACAGAAAGCTTATTTCTGAATACCAACAGTGAGAAAACATTTTTAATAGCGTCGTTCAAAAGAATAACAATTAATCGAAAAGCACTATCAGAAAGAATAAACTGGTTTCACTGAATTATATTTTACTACCAAGCCCAACCGAGACAGTGGTTAGTGACCCTGACTGCCTTACCGAAGAGCCCGGATTCGAATTCCAGAGAAGGTTCGTAAACGTGTAGTGTCGGTGCGGCAAGGTCTAAATATGCAGCGAGCCGAAAGTCGTCTCGAGAGGTTGATGGTAGAGAAAGAGGGGTGGGAGACTCTTGGACCCGTCCTTCTGGGGTGCAGTCTATCAAAAGTGGGGGGAGGGGCGGAATTGAGCAAAGGCTTTTGCCAACGGCAGGCGCAGTGTCTTTTAAACAATGAATATGATATGGATATTGATGATTGTTCTGATGTTATTGTCAGACAAGTGAGGTAAGTCCGTCAACAACACGAAAAGAAGACTTTGAACTTCTAACTAGGCAAAAAGGTGTTCTGATAGTGAAGTTTGATTTTCTGTTCTACATGTGTTCTCAGATGTATTAAGAACTCATAAATACACGAGTGGCTTGAGTTGTTGACTTCGTGGATTTTGCAGAAATGCCTGCCGGATTTTCTTTAGTTTTCCCTTCGAAACTCGCAACCGTCCAAGACTTGTTCCCTTGCACATACATCTACTATCTTGAAACTCGAAACCGTCGCCGACTATTCACACCGAACTCGAGAGGCTTTTACTGAGGTGTCGCCATTCGAATATAGTGTGAAACTGGTAGATGGTTTCATCCCGTTAATAATCGTGCCGATTCGTCCGCTCGTATCCCGTTTCCATTACAAATTTATTAAAACTAAATATGGTCATCCAGCGTTAATATTCGGAAATAGGTCGTGTATTAAAAAGAAATTGGTAAAATAAATATTATAAACTGAAAACTAAGCTAGGTGGAAACAGTCAGGCCTATCTTCCCTAAATCATGGTGTTCGCTGTCTTAGAAAGTGGCTTTTTGAAAAGATGAAGGAACCGAATTGATAAGGGAAGGTAGCGGACGAGCCGAGACGATTTTGAGCAGATAATGAATAAATGGCCATTAAGCCAACATTGGGGGTGGGATAACCTGCTGGTAGATATACGAAACATAGAAAACTGTTTTTTCAAAGAGTGAGTCATTCAGTGAAGATGTTCGAAATAGGATTTTGATCCTAATTTACTCTTTATGATAAACAGTCTTGTGATTACACTTAATATTTCTTATTTGTTTGATTGCCACAACGTGCACGAGGCTTTTTTTTGTTAAAAACGAAGAATGCTTTCGTAGCTCAAAATCACGTTCACGAGAAAAGCTACAAAATTCACTTGCAGGCTAGCCCTTTCGTCGTTATTAAAATCCCTGTCGAATTATCAGTGTTTAGTAATCTTATTCGTTTGACCGATTTGTTGGCACTGGGCTGGATGTCACCTAGGCAATAACAACAAACGTTTTCCGCCTTTTCTGCAACTAATGCAACTAGGGGAGACAGAGTTCCCAAATGAAGACCCTCCATATTAGGCAGGAGGTGGAAACTAGTGAAGAATAAAACACCTCGGAGAGAGAATAGAACAAATTCTTTATTGCTTACAAACCAGGGGCCTAAATCCTGGAACGCAGACTTACTTAAAACTAACTGTGTCGGTATCCCATCGCTGAACTGTCACACAGGACGCTCGTCAAACTTCAGATGTCAGATACCACGACGGGGAGGAAGGGGGCAACAAAAGACTATGATACTGTGTTCATGGCTGTTATGCTATCGTTTCGAATGGCTGAAGCCACTACCATCTGGGACGCGTAATGGCAAACCGCACATTGAGTTGAACAGTGTTAAGCGAATTTCGCTTACTGCGCATGCTTGTGGTACCTTTGGCGCTGGGAGAAATATTGGCGACTAAGCAACCCTACGTTAGCTTATTCGTGATCTCCATGGTTGCCGAGTGTGTTCGAGTGATGTTTAAAATTGCAATGTTGTGGAACTTTGCTTATTAGTTATTTTAACGTCCATGCCGATTGCACTTGCTTATTTTTCTAATATATATTTCATTTTAATTTGTCAATAACAGTGCATTTAATATTTATTAACATATGTTCGTAATAATTCGTTATTTAAATGTAATTTGTTTACATGTTATAATTCAGTAATTGTAAACTGGAGTATCTCGCTTAGTTTGTTAGTGTATATTCGTTCTTTAATTTTCTCATTTCAAAGAATTTAATAACTAGCATTAAAGAATTGTAAAATTTCTTCAGTGTTTCTTTATGTATGTACGAATGGAACGTATGGTAAATCCTGAATTGTTTTTATTGCTTAGAAGTATAATGAATAAATTTTCAACTAATATATCCTAAATTTCAGTCTTTTTCTGAACGAAAAGTTGTACAGTTCCAAAGGAATGTGCAGAATTTCATAAATATTATATTTTACATTTTGAATGTAAACACTGCTTCACATTACTTCGCAATAATTTCAGCTCTCTAGTTGTTTGAGCAGTATAGCAAAAAATAGTATTTTAACACAGTAATTAATTTACATTTACATTATACTCTACGAAGATTTGAACGCCAGATTTGTTTACAATTAGATGGCGATACATCTACCATATACCGTATTTATCTTCTTTTCAAATCGCGCCAACATAGTAATTACGCCAAATTGTTTTCTGGGCATGCGCAGTATGCGACATTCGTTTAACACTGTTCAACTCAATGTGCGGTCTGCCATTACGCATCCGGGACAGCATAGGCTGCGCTCTCAGGCAGTAGGAACTGGGTGTACCCCCCCCCCCAGAGCCGCTACTATCATAGTATGATACTAAGCTAGTGTATGCAACCCGGGGGGATCATCTCGACAAGCCCGTTTTTAAATTCATGGTCTGAATTAATTGTTCATTTTTCGTTTTTCGTAGAAATCGTGAAATAATAATGTAATATAATTTTGAGAAAATATTTGCGAGTAATTTATTTCTACGGATAATGAATATATATAGTCACTAATGCCCTTCATCCTTTATCTATGTTAATTGTTACTGCATGCCCTCCCCCGCAAACTAATTCCGACGCCAGGAGTGACAGAAAACGTAATTTTGAATTTGTGACGCACAAATAGTGTTGTAAACTGAAACTATCACATTCGCTTTACAAGTTTTTAATTTCTAATTTAATTAATTATTCATGGCAAGTGAGTAATTTCTGAATGTGTATGTGTTGTTATATTATTTTATATACATGTAAAAATTAAAGGAAATAAATGTAAAAATTAAGGAAAATAAGCAAAAAGAAAGAAAATCTGAAAGGATTCATATTTTAACATCGCATCGAAGGGTTTATGAAGGTTTTTACTCTCTCTCAATACTCGCAGTTTAACAATTTACTC